TGAAAAAACATACTTTTCTCTATTGCCTTTCAAAATAACCTCAACATTATTTCAATAGCAGCACGTGTTCTATCTAAAAAATTTTGCCACTCTTTTAAAAAAATATTTAAAAGAAAATAAAGCTTTGTGCTTTACAACAAATATAAATGGGGTAATTTGGATAATGAAAATAAATGAATAACACCAGTACTAACAGAGCTGATCCTATTTGTGACAGCTCATTAACTTTGTACAGGATGCTGTTGACTGCCCTGGGTCAGGAGTTTATAACGGTGCAAGGTGGAGCCATTTGCTAAAGATGGTTGGAATAGGAAATGAACAGGACTCTGTTCATTCCCTGGGAAGCCATTGCCCCTTCACATGTATCACCATATTTTTTTTTTTTTGTACCGGGGATCGAACTTGGGTCTTTGTGCTTGCGCAGCAGGCGGCGAAACCACTGAGCTAAATCCCCAGCCCTGTATCACCATATTAAACACAGAAAAGAGACAAAGACAGGAGACAAGGTGCAGACTACAAATACTAACAGTATTTGTCACGCTCACTTGAGGCGCTTTGAATGTATTTGATCCCGTAATCTTCACAGCAACCCTACCAGTCAGGGATATTTTCCTTGTTTTGCAGAAGGGGAAACAGGCTCAAGTTTATTTGGACTCCATCAGTGCCTTTGTCCTTGATTATTGAAATTACGGCAGACTGCCTCCCTCTTCCTGCCACATCTCCAACATCATCTAGTTTAGAACAATGAGCAAATGAGCAAACAAAAGTACTGGTGTTTCTCAGCCAAAGATGCAAGGGGGGAGGAGACACCAGCACCAAGCCCTGGGGAAGATTGTCAGAGCACCGCAAGGGTGGGAGGGCAAGGGGAGCCTGGGATGGTAAGAAGCGTATTCCAGGACCTATGGTGTCATTATATTAATAACAGAACTAACGCTGGACAGAACCTCAGCCTGTGGGATATGCTGAAGAAAGACCACTGGGAATGTGTTTTTAAAGTGTTGATAAACACTGCTGCCCCTTTAGTGTCATCTGCTGTTGGCCAGCTGTGGGCTCCTGGGAAAAGCGTCCTTCCCAGTCTGTGCTCCAAGAAAGAGAGAGTGCACAGGGACACCGTCATGATTTATGAGCACCTTTTGGTCTGAAGTTAGATCACTACCTGCCCGCTACTGACATTTCAGATGACACTGAAGTTACATGACAGAAAGTCCTTCTGTGTGTGCTGCCTGTTAGTGCTGGGGATAGAGCCCGCAGCCTTGCACACGCCAGGCACGAGCTCCACCACTGCTTTTTTGTTTGTTGGTTGGTTTGTTTTTTAGTACTGGGGATCGAACTTGGGACCTAGCATTTGCCAGGCAGGCGGCAGAACCACGGAGCTAAATTCCCCGCCCTACCACTGCTTTTTAAAAAAATGTCTTTACTTAACTGAGTAAGAAGTTGGTTACCTTATTTCATGCTGCAAACACGAAATGTTAGAGAACTACAAAAGCCTCTGCACAGAACCAGTGCTCTAATATATTTTCTAACTTAAAATTTTCAGCTTCTACCTTTCCACAGTTCTGCACAGTTTGTTAATCATTTTCACATCTATGATCCTGGCTGATGCTCTATGGTCAATCCCACTTTTCATAGATTAAAAACAGTTTAGAGAGGTTTGAAAATGTGACCAAGATCATACATACAGTCCTTCATAGAAGACCCAGATTCTACTTCGTGTCTTTGGCTTTCAGTCCTAACTGCTATCCTAACTATAAGTGTTTATAAATCAGGTCTCACTAAAGAATTATAAGGAGAGTGCTTTAAATGCACAGAGCTAATAAATCTGAATATCTGGAGGATGGAACTTCAGCACGGCACTCTGTAAGCGCCTTTGAGCTAATTCTCCTATGCAGCCAGATTTGGGGCCAGTACTAAGCAGCAAGGTCCCTGACCCTTGGACTCACCAGAAGGAACGGGGTCCTGGAGTTGGAACTGTGCTTCCTGGTAGTCCTGAATTGGCTGAGCCCCAGTTCCTACATCTTTTGGATGAGGATAATGATAGCTAAGTGCAGATTATAAATATTTGAACACATATATGTCAAGTGGATAGATATGGTGATTATTCAAAGCTGGAAGTTATTCTCATTACTACTGCTACCCAGGAAGATGCTCTATTACTACTGAGTAAGAATGAAGGGTGGTATACCATATCTAGCAACTCAGCAAGTCCCTGAGTTTACTCCTCTGTAAAGAAGCAATATCTTTTAACAGCTAAGTACAGTATCTGTGGCTCTAGAAAGACTAGACTACATGGTTCTGTAGAAAAATTGAAAATCTGAACATTTTTCAGGAAGTGGCTCTTAGAAGAGCATTAAACAGATATAACTAAAATAAATTGGTGCTTATGAGCTACAGATTTCTATAGCTATGTGTCATTTTCTGTCAAGGCAAGATTAGGTCTCATCCACATGCTCGCTTCTCTGTAGTTTATAATCTGTATGTGCTTAGGCTACACATGTATTTGAAATAGCTTATGAAAATCATAAGAAAATCATAAGAAAATAAAAATAAAGGCAGATAAAAAGCTAAGAATCCTGAGCCAGGGATTTAGCTCAGTGATTTTAGCACCTGCCTCGCAAGTGCAAGGTCCTGAGTTCGATCCCCCGTACCCAAAAAAAAAAAAACCAAACTAAGAATCCTCAACACATGGAGTAGGAAAGGAAGGGGAAGAGTGAACAGGAGTTGGAGAAAGGAGTGTTTGTCAGGCTGCCAGGAGAATCTATTCACAAAAACTGCACATCTGAGTGAGTAATAAGACTCCTGACCTTCCGACCCACCAACGATGGATGGATGGTCCTTCCTTCCTTCCTTCCTTCCTCCCTCCCTCCGTCCCTCCCTCCTTCCCTCCTTCATGAGTTACTCATGAGTGTGTGAACGCAGTTTCTCCATCACCTACTATACCATCGCCTCTCACAAGCCAAATAAATGAAGAAAATTGTACCTGGTCATAATCTCTATGTAAAAGTTCAAATTCTTTTCAAATATGGAAAGCTAACATTTGACCCCAAACTTAACAAGTGAAAATCATAAGAATCTAAGTTAAAGAGACATTCTTACACTTGCGATCCAGAGCCCAGTGCTGTCATTCCACATTTTCTATATGAACATAAAATTTGCCCCTTAGGGGCTGAGGCAGGGTTTTCCTTCAGTCGCGAAGGCCCACGAGGGCACTGGCAGAGCCAGGTTGGAGGAAAACACACCATGCTGCGCTCCCATGCAACAGAAACAAGTGAACCTAATGTGCTGACCTGTCTCATTTATTGTGGTTCATCCAGCAATGTCATATAGTAGGAATACACTGGACCAGATGCTACAAGACTCGGACGCTACTCCAGTTTCTTCCGTGACCAACCGTATAACTCTCAGATTTTACAAATTTTCTGGTTCTTGGTTGTTTTCATTTACAAAATGAAAACTGTCCTTGCTCCACTCAGTGTGAGTGCATAAGGAATTCTCGTCTCGAGCGTGTCATTCCCTACAACACAGCTCTTTTTCTGTGTCTGTTTGCTTTACACTTCTCTACCATCCTAGAAGCTTTGCAGATTCCATCACTCCATTCTAGTGCCCCTGAGAATCCTAGAAGATGACAGGTGTAAATAGTCATAAATAATTTTAGAGATAATTGTGAAAGATCACAAATGATGTTGTTCAAATACACTGCTTTTTAGGGTGTTAACTGGCTAATTTCAAAGGCCTTTGCTAGCTTCAAAGTAGTGAAATTCTATATTCAAGTGCACATTTGAAATTCATGTATCTTGCATATAAAGAAAAGTTTAGACATGTGTACCTCATCTCTCTTCTTCCATCTGAGAAATCCTTGGGCATGATAGTTTCCCTGTCTCACGTGCAGGGTTAGTATCTCTGTTTTACTTTTTTTTGGTACTGGGGATTGAACTCAGGTCCTTGTGCTTGCGTGGCAGGCATTGGAACCACTGAGGTAAATCCCCAGCCCCAGTTTTACTTTTATATACATTAAACCTTGCCTGAAATCTCACACCTCTTGCTCTAATTTATACTATAGTGTTTCCTTTTGCATAAGAATACAGACTTGTTTGAAATAAATACGTGAGTTTATAATAAATTATGGAAACATATTTTTCTCAGAGTGTTTGTTTGTCTTTTAATACCGGGGATCAAACTCAGGACCTTGTGCATGAGAGGCAGGCAGTGGCACTACTGAGCTAAATCCCTGGCCCTCAGAGTGGTGGTTTTAATATTCCAGATTCTAAAGAGAAAAGTTGAATCTGTGGGGAAAGGCAAATGTGCTCAAAATTTCCACTTTGTGAAATATAAAAGTACATGGTCAGTAATAGCATGCAGGAAAACTGCTTGCTCCAAGAACTAGGCTCACAGTGCAAAAGCTGAGCCTGAGAATAAAGATGGTGAGTACAGGACAGACAGACTCTCTGCCCCTGACCCTGCTGGAGTGTACATGGGTGAATGATTCCAGACATCAAACCTCTCTGATATCCCGTTTTATGGCCGAAATCCAACCTAGCTGGCTTATCATGTCCTCTCCTATAGACTGTCCCGATTTGGATAGTCAGAGTTAGTTTTCAGCTCAATCAGAGTTACAAGAAGAAAGCAACAAGTTCTTTAACAGTTAACTTGGGGATGTCAGAATTGCTGTAAGTGAAAATCAGGCCCTGTGAGGTTTCTCCTCCCTCTCTCTCTCTCTCTCTCTCTCCAAAACAAAGGTAGAGGCAATTTGAAAGTCTAGTATATAAGTGGCATACAATATTCAAGAGATTTTATTCTTTCATATTCAAGAAACCTTCAAGTAAATAAAAGACCTCCAGTCCACTTTTTCTTGATACAAAATATAATATTTGCTCTTTTTGCTGAAATTAAACCTTATTTTCAAATTTGTCACCATTTATAGATTCTAGGAAGGGTAGCACTGGGTGATTCAGATAAAGGCACTAAGGCCCTAGGCAAACGGAAGGAGAATCTTCAGCACTTACTTGGCATAAACCGCTGATGCACATATCCAAAGACTCGGAATAGCAGCGGGTACCATCTAAGACCTTGGGCGCTAGTTCCACAACCAGGGCTGTCCCCTTGGCTTGGCACTTGAGCGAACATGGATTGTCAGGGTCGTTCGACACAGGAAGCCACTCGTAAAACTGGCCGTGGTGCTTGACGTCGTTATGAGCGGAGCATTGCTGAGCCCGGAAGTCCCCTGCTTCCAGCGGGCAGTCCTGGAGAAGACAGTGGGGAGGGAGGACAGGTTAGAGCACGGCCCAACAGAACCGGAGCAGCTGCGACATCTGCAAACGCTTGGAAAACAAGGCAACCATTGTTCTGACTGTTACAGGTGGACCCTATACTGTTACTGTGGCATGTTCGGGGTATATGATTATTTGGCTCTCAAAATAAGGATCCTGAGACAGTAACTACCTTAAATATATTTTCTGATTAAAGTTCAATGAGAAACTAACCCACTTAAAAGAGGTCTTCTGGTTGATACTCATTGGGAAAGTAACCATCCTGAAATACATTTTCTAAAAGGTGTCTATTGGTTCCCAAGCTCTAGACCCCGGGATTATTTGAAAGTACTGATCCCTTTCAGTCTGATATTGAGAGCTAAGAACTCTACTTAGCAGCAAAAGGTTATCATCATTTCATTCAAAAGTTTGCAGGGTTGTTTGTGATCATTTTCTATCACTTAAACTACAGTGTCTAGGATTAGTTACAAGGAACAGAAGCATCATTTACACACGAGTCACTTTAGGTTACGCAGCAGCGTGCAAAGGAAAAGACGCCTTTCTAGGTGTGCGAGGCCGCAGTGCGGTGGGTCTCCCTGAGCCTGGTTTCCCCAAGCTCACATGTCAGCACTGCTGTGGGAAGTTCAGAAGTTTGTGCCAGCCAAGTACTGGCACGAGGAGGATCCATAGCACTTGGTAGCAAGTATTATGAGTATTTAATGAAGCCACTGAAGAGAAAGGGTTGGGGAATCAGGAGAACATATTATAGTGATCTATGCATACTCAGGTTCATAACAGCATAACTCATAATAGCTAAAGCTTGGAAGTGGCCTACATATCCAGCAACAGATGGATGGGTTAAAATGTGGTATATATACAGTGGAGTACTACTCAGCCATAAATAAGAAAAGATTTGAGACATCTGTGGGAAAATGGATGCACACTGAGTCCACAATGCTAAGTGAAATAAATCAGACACAGGTTAAATATCGCATGGTTTCTCTTATACAAGAAACCCAAAGAATAAATCATTTTAAAGAGCAAAGTAGAAGAAAGATGATAGGAAACAGGGAGGTAGATTTTGTGGAGGTGGGAAGGGGAACTGGAGATGGGGGTAGATGGGAAGGAGAAGTAAAAAGGATCAAGAGGTGATATGTGTATGTACCAATACCCCATGATGAATATATGTATTGTGTATTGCAAGCATGTGCAAATTTTACATTTAAAAAATTATACTGGTGGAACCCCTGTGGAAAACAAGACCCTTTGAAATGTGTACTTCATAAAGGGCAATTTACAGTGTAAAAATACGATTAGCAATGGCTTTTATCTAATAAATGATAAATCTCCACAAAGGCAAGTAAGTCAGCCTTAAAAAGGCAAACACTGACTCTTCCTTGAAGAAGGCTTGATAGGCACGTTTTCATTTTATGTGTTGAGAAGAAGATTTACTGCACAGATTTTAGATTATCTGGTCTTGAGTGACTTTTATGATAAGGTTTTGTCTTAGAGTTTGTCCTTGGCCTTCAGCAGTCCCTAGTCATGCCAGTATCATTCTGGGAGTTCTCTCATTCAAGCTTTCCTTCTCTGAACTCTCTTTATGTTCATACAGGCATTCAGAGAACAGCACTGATCTTTGTTTTCTATATTTATTTTTCTAACTTTCTTCTTTTTAGTCGTACACATTTGTCATACATATTGGTCACATCCATCATAGGGAGTTTGTACCTGTACATAACACATTTCAATTCTTCTTTTTTCCCCATTCTTCCTGCTCCCTTCAACCCTTCCCCATTTAAACAAGTGTTGTTTCATTTTTTCCTTCCATTCTCTTTTTTTCCTTTTCCCTTCCTTCTCCTTTTGCCCCTCTCCCCTTCCTTCCTTCCCTTCCCATTTGAACATATTCTTCCTACTTCCCAATATTTGTCCTCCATTTTGCTCCTATTTACCCTTTTGGTTCCTCATATAAAAGAAACAATGCAATATTTAAACGTGTGTGTCTGATTTATTTCCCTTAAGATTATGGTCTCAAGGTGCATCTTTGTTTTATAAAATGGAATTCTTGACTCTTAAGCTTTAGTGGTACTATTCAATAACATATACGCTTCAGTATTTGGAGGAGAACAAATTTTTTCTAGGCAGGGTAGGGTACAAATATTTAGGATGAATGCAAAATGTCTCAAAATACAATATAAAAATCTCAAAGACATTTAACTGTCAGTACTGATACACACACAGAGACACACACACACATATATATATCTTCAGAGTGAATAAAATATAATAATAAAGGAAAAGAATAATGTATAAAGCATCAGCATAGATATACAGGTTCCAACAAGGCTTAAGTGATTTTGAATATTGTCTTTTAAAAAGTATGATTAAAATTCATTGCTTATTAACTTCTTAAATGATAGGCTACAGTTTAAATTTTAGAAATATCTGCCTATTCCTTAGTTATTATTGTCTTCCTTTACACAACTCTAGAATTAATTCTGCATCCCCCCCCCCCCGCACACACACATTAGAAGGCCTCTTTCTGCAGGTGCTGCTCTCCCCTGCTTGAAGAAACCGAACTTACTATGACCACACACTGGTCATGGCATGAGGGCTTCTTCAGTTGAGCTGATATTTTAATTAATAATGGTTAAACCAAATATTTTCTTTTGCATCATACCTGTCATTCCATCTGTCACTTACTTACTCTGAAGTATAGAAGAAATACTGAAATGGACTCAATAAAGCAGAACACTGAGAAAATTGTTTGAAATAGTCTACAATCCCTCTCATAACTATCTTTGCCTCATTTTTCATAAATACAAGTAAACCAGCTAGAAGGGAATTCCAGGGTTAGGTTGAATCACCTTTGGCTCAAAGTAAGGGCACAATGTAATTTAAAAATGTGTTAGTATGAACCAGAGATAATTTTCTACATTTTTCCAATTCCAAGAAAAGAGTGTCAATGACAATTTTAAACTGATGGTGCTACATCATCTTTGGGCAGACCCAGTCTTCTGAGACCTTTCTGTTTGAAAAAATGTGTTGACTTTTTCCACTTTTCCTAAAATAAATGAGACTCAAAGGCAGTCAAAGGTAAAACTAGTAGAGATGAAGTTAAAACCTTTAGGCTTTTTTTTCTATGAAAAAAAATCGTAAACATGTTTAGATACATCACAGAAAATGAACATATAAACAGGTGTTTCTATTTGCAATTCATCTCTGTATATAATAGTTTCAAGGATACCTTCTGTATAGGTTTTATGATTTTTTATAACTAGAAAAATATCTCTGAGAATTTACAATGCTTGTGAATCCCTTTACTCATTTTTATTATTACTGTCTTTCCTTCTATCCATGACTTTGTATGGATGGGACAGTATATTTTGCTAAGTTGAGATTACAATACTTATGAATCCCTTTACCACCTTTATTATTAATGTCTTTCCTTCTATCCATAATTTTGTAGGGGTGGGACAGTATATTTTGCTAAATTTGAAACCTGGTGTTCAGAGTTGGATCCTAAACTTGGACCTTTTTAATGTTTGAGTTTATTTATACTTGGTGAAATTCCTGTTTTAAGAAAAAGACCTAACAGGACTTATAATACAGGTATAGAAAGCTTCTTGGACATCAACTAGCCCTTACAACATAACATTTTGATGATTTAAGTGTAAATGAATCAGAAACATATGAATCAAATTTCCCTTGAAATACACATTTAAAAATTAAGAGAAAGGTTTGGCAAAACAACCTTTGTTTGACCCCAAAACTTCTCAAACATAGCTCAAGATATTCACTGAACCGCTAATGCATCTTGAATCATCCAGTTACAGGAGTGAAACTTAGGTGAAGTCATTGTAGTATCTTATCCCACCAGTATATAATAATACATGATAATAATAACATTAGGAACAGCAACAACAACAGAATAATTCTTATTTAAATAGAGATTAACATCTTCAAAGTTTCTATTTTTTAATTATAATTTGGTCCTTTAAGCCATTATACTTCCCGATCCTCTTAAAAGTCAGCTTTAGAAACTCATGACCTATCTGTTTTGAAAAACAAAAAGCCCAACTCCCCTCAAATCCTTTACACATTTATCTTTGAAATATCAGCTTCTGAAGATGCTTTACAACACAGATCACAATTCTGACTAGGTGGAATGGTTTTCCTCCAGGTATACCAAGTGCAGACTTTACTGAACATATACAATGTGAGATTTCTGCTTTCATAAAACATTAATGATAGGAACAATAAGCTTTTCATTGATATATTTAAGACATAAAAGAAACAAATGGCTTACGATTTACATACTTTGGCATGGAACTTGGCACATAGGAAGTAATGATGAAGACAACACTACTGAAAAGCCTAGTGATTGCAGAAAAACATTCTGACCCTCAGTAAGAATCCAGAAAAAAATATGGCGAGAGCAGAAAGAACAGGATCCCCAGTGCCCATCCTCTCTATGCCTCCTAAAGGACCATCAGGTAGAAAAGGAACAAGAGAAGGCAGTTGAATACACTTCCCCACTGGAGTACAACACTAACAGATCTGTGGACTGACAGGTTTGTGTCAGGTAATTGGGCCAGGACTGAGAAAATACATTTTCTTAGTAATGGATGATCCCATGAATAACTGAATTTAGCTCTTTAATGTAGCAGTTTTCTCTTCAGTTTTTAAGCATTTAATCCTAATTGTGTTGTATCAGAGCTTTCTTCTTTAAAAACACAAAAATAGTATCTGCCTTTTATTTGCTCCCATTATAATCCACACAGTCCATGGAGTTCTGCCGTACATGAATCCATTTCAAAACATTTCCAGTTAATCAGCTAGCCAGTGGGAAAGGTAAGATGGACCCCAGACATCCCCTGAGGATGATTGGTGGATCACATTACCCAGTAGGACAAAAGAGGGTCATGATTTTTCAGAGTTTACTCACTGAGAGAAACGTAAAAGGTTTGTATCTTAGCAGCGAAGGTGGCAGCATA